CCCGCCGGCCCCCCTCCCTCCCGCCCACGACCACGTCACGACTCGCGCTGGCACACCGCCTGGGAAAAGTACCCATTATTCTAGGTCGGGCATGTCCCCCTACAGGCTTATTGTGGGTGGCAAGTGAAAAATTGTCAAACAATACAGAGAAATTGCAAAACATATTCACTTTTTCGTCCAATGCAGACGTTCCTGATCCAATGCCGCCGCCGCAATGGGGGGTGACCCAGATGGGGGGTGAAAGGAAGGGCCCTGAAGGAGCCCTTTGGGGCCCCTTGTGGGGCCTGCTGGTACCCAAAAGGGGCCCTATTGAGGGCCCTTCTAGGGCCCTTTTCTTGACCCCTCATGTTGGTCACACCCCGTTACCACCCGTCCGACACTCCTGCCTGGGTCGCGCCCAGTATCGCCAAGGAAATGTAAAAAACTGCCTCAGGCGAAGGGGAACAAAAAACAACACAAAACAACATTTCTCGGATGTCCGTGCGGATTTCCTGGATTGGCGTTGGACGCCCCTCCCTGGCGCGCGGAACGCGCCATGGGGCGGCGCTGAGGCGCCGCCACGGGCGCCGCAGCGCCGCTCCTAGGAATCCGCGCGGAACCCGGGGAACTTCCCTGAGTCGGCGGCGAGCGAGGGGGGGAAATGAGGAGGGGAAACCCTTTTCAGAGGGCGCCGGGGGCGATGCTCTCTGAGACCTGTTCTGTGACTTCGGGGGAAACCAAACCTGGCCATCGCTCGGACGTCCATCCCTGTGTTTTTTAGGTTTCGTGCGTGGTTTTTTTCGCCAAATGATCAACGATGCTCCTCGATGGTCCTCGCCGAAGGAAAAATGCACACGTCCGAACGGTGCCAAGTAACAAAAACTGCTCAGAAGGCCGAGGGGCGCCCGAGCCTTCTGAGGAGGCCCGCCCCTTCTGACCTCACCCCCGGGCGCGCCGCCGATTCCGGCATGATTGCGGATTTTGAGGCTTGCTGCCGTGCAGCTCCTCCCGCGCGCCAAGTGCGGGCCTCTCGCAGCCCACGCGAGTCGAAGCTCCGTAAGAGGGAACGCCCTCAAGGATAGGCCAAAAACCCCTGGCGACGTGTGCCACTGCGATGGCGCGCTCCAAGAAAGGCCTCACCTTCGCCGCCGAGTTCTGCCGCTTGTAAGGGAACAAAGATTGTCATAAACCTGTAAACTCGGAGGTCTGCGCGGATTTCTCGGATCGGCGCTGGGGCGGCGCCGGAGGCGCCGCCGGGGGGCCCCAACGCCGATCCGAGAAATCCGCGCGGACCTCCGAGTTTTTATGTTTATGTCCCTTTTCGTTCCCCTATTTTGTTATTCGAGTGCACCGTGCCGCGAGCGAAGGCGACCCCGTGGCTCGCACGCTCCGCCCCCAGCACGAGCGGCGGGCGCGGCGGGCGCCGGACATGGCCATGTGCGAGAGCTCCTGCGCGAGGCGCCAGGCACGTGGGGGGCCACAGGAGGCGACCGGTGGGGGAGGCCTCCTCCTCCTCCTCCTCCTTCTGCTGCTCCTCCTCCTCCTCCTTCTGATGCTGCTGCTCCTCCTCCTCCTCCTCCTCCTGCTCCTCCTCTCCCAGCTCCTCCTCCTCCTCCTCCTCCTCCTCCTCTCCTCCTCCTCCTCCTTCCCCCTCCTCCCTCCCCTCCCCCCTCCCCCTCCCCCTCCTCCCTCCCCCATCCCCCTCCTCCCCCTCCCCTCTCCCTCCTCCTCCTCCTCCTCCTCCTCCTCCTCCTCCTCATCCTCCTCCTCATCCTCATCCTCCTCCTCCTCCTTTCAGCGAACCCTTTCAGTGAGGGCTCTGTGCCGAGCCGACGGGCGGCGCGGCGTAGCTCGTCAGTCCGACGGCCTCAGGTGGGCCCCGGACTCGTCCTTTCCGACCTTCTTTGCGACGGGCGCCCCTCCTTTGCTCGCGAGCTGAGGGGCGCCCGACCTTCTCTCGCCGCGAGGTGATGGTCGTAGTTGGTGGGGTAGAGGTGCTAGGGTTGCTTGTCTCTGTTCTGCCACGCAGCTGAGGACCCTGCTCCTGTCCTCCTTTCTGCGGGCGTTCCTGCAAGAGGTCGGTTCTGAGGACCCTGCTCCTGTCCTCCTTTTCGACGTCTCCCAGGCATGCTCGTCGAGCCTCGCTGTTGAGGACCCTGCTGCTGTCCTCCTTTCAGCAGGCTCCGTCTTGGTTGCGTCGCGCCACGCTGCTGAGGACCCTTCTCCTGTCCTCCTTTCAGCGGGCAGGTTGTGTCGAGGTGGTGGTAGTTGTTGGCTGGGTGATGGTTGCGGGGTGGGCGGTCGGTCGGTGGTGAGTCCCAAACGTTGTGCATGGTCGTCTTGAATGTCTCTGGGTAGATCGTGGGGATGTCGGGTTGTTGCTGGGGTTATGGCATGGGTTATGGGCGCACTTGAGAGGCCTCCATGCACCGACTTCAAGTAGGGTTCGTGGCGGCCCCACCTCGTCCCGCTATGGCTAGGGGTCACGGTTCCCTCGGTGGGGGCGAACCCCAGGCCTGGTGCTTGCTGCTGTTGTCGGTGAGGAATGTCTCGGCTGCCCTCAGCTTCGCCCCTTGGGCGATCGGGTAAGCACCACCTTCGCCGTGGGGACGGCTGGGGTGGCGAGCTAGGGCGGACCGCGGGGGCGCGGGTAGTGGCCGTCCTACCCCCCCCCCCCCCCTGCCCCTCACAATCCCCCCTGGTAGGCGCGGGCAGTACTCGTCCTGCCCCCCCACCCTTCGAGCCCGTCTCGAAGTTTGATCCTTGCCTCGCCAGGGCAGCGTTGGCTTGTGGGGTGGTGTGGCATGCCGTCCTTTGGGTCGTGGGTGGTAGTTGGTCGGTGGTGTTTGGCAAGAGTGGAGGCGTGTGTAATGCGGCTTACAGGTAGCCGCTGAACTCGTGCTCGTGCGGCCGCTGCCTTCGTTAATATTGCAAAACGTGGCGACTTGTGCCTGGGGTGTTCCCACGCATTCGGGGCTCCCCGAGGACTTGCGTTCTAACGCCGCATGCAAAACTTGGCGACGCTGCCGGAGGTGTTCCCACGCACTCGGGGCTTCCTCAGGACTTGCGTCCTGGCGCCTTTGAGCTTGTCGTCGATGACACCCATCGTGGCGATCGTCCTCGGCGCGAGGCGGCACTTCGTCTTCTCGTTCGGTGTAGTACGCGTCGTTGGTGTTCAGGTTCTGGCTGGCGGGCGCAACGGCTGCGGTTCTGAGGCCCCGTCTAGCCACTATGTTGCCGTCGAGCAGGTCGGCGGTGGCGAAGTCGATCTCCTCTGCGTTCGCCGCGGTCATTATGTTGCGGAGGTCGTCGCGGGCGCCGTTGTCGAGGATCTGTGTGGCGCCGAGGTCGTAGTGATTTGTCGGGGTCTCGTAGACAGTCATCAGGTTGGCGACGCACTGCTATTCGGGAGTCTGCCTGAAGATCGACTCCGCCGAGATGGCTGCGACGCGTTGGTTGTGGTCGCCGTGAAGAGCATACGCAAGACCTCTCGTGTGACGTTGTTGGCGGCGAACATCTCGTCGGCGATGGTCTCGGAGACTTCAGGCGTTCCCCGAGGTGCCTCGGGGGTGCGCCGCTTGCTTGCGCTGCTGCCTAGAACGTCGCTTGCATCGTGTAGGTACCAGCTTCGTCGTGGGATCTCTACGTAGATGGCCGCTATCTCGCCATGCCGGGTCCTGCGTTGTACTCGCCGAAGTTCCGGCATTAGTTCTGAGGTCTGGCCATCGCTGTGGATTGCGACCTGGATGTAGTCCAAGCCGCTGATGCTCGTGATCCCGCCGTTGGCCATGATATGCTGGAGGTCGGCGGCCTGTCGATGGCGGTCGGTGATGAAGACGACCTCATGGCGCTCGGCTGGCCCCGCAGGCGAGCTCGCGGGTGGACTGCTTGGCGATGACTCAAGTCTGACGAATACTTTAGGTACGACGGGCGACGTCTCGAGGAGCGGCAGCGGCGCAACGTCGCACGGGTGGGCTGGCTTGTCGCTGAAGGTTGGGCGTCGTCCTTGCTTCTTGTTGGCGTTTGTGGCCTCGGCGATGGCGGTGAGGTTCTCTGCGATTTGCTGCTCCGTCAGATGCTCCATCGTCTGGATGCGCCAGGCATGCCAGGATTTGCGGCAACGGTGATCCACCGATAAGTGCTTGATGGGCCTCGGAAGAGAGTGGTGCTCGGTCTGGCAGCATCGGCACGCGGTGCCTGTGGCCCAGAAGCGCGGGCCCTCGTGGTCTGGACGACCCCTGCCCATATGGATTGACATGCCTTGCCTGGAGGCGACTCGGCCGCAGGCGTAGCAGGCGCACTTCTGGTTGTTGGTGTCGTCGCAGAGGTCCAACTCTTCAGTTGGGTGAGCTACGGTGATCATCTGGATGTCCTCCTGGAGCTTGGCGCCCTGAGCTTGGTCGCGAACGTGGAGAATGTAGGCCTTCAAAGCTGCCTTGACTGCGTTGGTGAATAGCTTCGGCTTCTGTCGGGCCCAGTTGATGATGTCGTGGTCGTGCTGGGTTTGGCTGGGCCACCTCTCTCTTGGTAAGTGCGTTCGTAGGAAGTTGAAGTCCTTCTTGAGCTGGAGGCTCCAGGCGCCCTTTCGTTGGCGCTGGCCGTCGAGGAGCTGGGGTAGGACTGCTGGAGCATGATTCAGGAGTCTTGGTAAGTATCCTAGTCGCGCTGTCGACTGGTGGGTGATGAAGTCGGGTACTCCTGTCTTGGCGATTGCCCCGGCTTCGGAGATGTGCTGGTCGGGTGAGTTGGTCTTGGGCAGCGAGGCTGCAACGCGGCATGGGCCCACGTACTTGGCGAATAGATGCTTCAGGTCTTTCAGAGTCAGGTCGCTCCAGACATGGTGGTTGTAAGTCAGCGAGGAGGTGAAAACGAATGGACGTACTTCACCTTGGCTTTCTTCGAGAGCTTCTCGCGGCGGAGGATTTGCATCTCGAGAGGCCGGGCTGCGCCGAGCGCGCGGTTGACCCTTGGGCAGATTTCTGGCCCCATGACCCTGCCCGCCGAGATGATGGTACCGAGGGCTTTTTGTTGCATTACTAGCTGCACATTGATAGAAAGTCCGTCCAATTCGAGGTATGTGATGCCCTCCTTGGCGATCCGCTGTTTTTTCCTATTTGGCCCCTGCGCCGTAGTGCATGAGGATGGCCTTGGTCTTGTCTGGGCGTGGCTTCAGGCCATGCTGGAACGCTGCTGTGCAGAGCCTGGCAGCTGCCAGGGTGGTCGTGTTGATCAGTTCGCTGGCGTTTGCGGTCGAGTTGTAGTCTGCGAGGTCGTCGACGAAGGACATGTTCCTGAGCACGCTTCCTTCGTGAGGGATCGGTGAAAAGAGACGTTCGCTGCAGGCCTCTATCTCGTGTCCGCCTATCTGCTGGCCGTGGGCCGTTTCCTTTCGGGCTGCCTGGTCGATTGCCCTCAGCATGATGGCGAAGTGTATGTTGAAGGCTACGTCCGAGTATGGCACTCCAGGTCTGGTGCTGGTCCGACGCAGCTGGTAGTGCCTTGCGCTCTTGGCTGTCATCCAGTTGGTGGTGTGGTGATCTGCGATCATGTGGCAGAGGTGCTCGTCGCCGATGTGCTGGTTGTTGTAGGCGGGCTGCTGAAGTCGTTCCTTTAGCGCTGGTCTGATGAAGTGGGGAGTGTCGATTCGTTCGATGAGCGCGTTAAGCTCGTCGGCGGAGGTCGGCAATTGCATGCAAAATTCCCTGGTGACGGAGTGGAAGGCCTCCCTGAGGTCCAGGAATGTGATGCTGCATGAACTTGGTCTCCTTTGGCAGTCGCTGATGAAGGCGAGGCTGGTGTGAGTGATGAAATCCGTGGCCATCTTGGGTCGGGCGCCGCACTGGGTTGCTTCTAGGAGCTCGGGTAGCAGGCCCTTCACGCGGGAGCGGAGGAAACTGCTGTGCATCTTGCCGATGGTGCTGTTGAGCAGGATGCCGCGGTAGGATTTCTGGAGCTCCATGGCCCCCTGTCCCTTGTGGGAGTACGTGGAGTACCCGCCCTTGGCGGCGATCGGCTCGGTGCTCTCGAAGTGGGTCTTGACTAGGACGGGGTGGAGCAGACGAGCCATCCCTTCAGGGCTGGCTCTGGACATGTCGTCGGTGAGCTGGTCGGGGCCGCCTCGGCGGCCTAGCTTGGCGGCGATGAGCTGGCTGGTCAGCTGGTGCTTGGGTATTCTGTTCTGGATCTTAGGTCCTGGCCCTTCGTGGCGGGTCCTCTTCTTGTAGTCGGCTGCTACCCCGTCTGCGTCCGTGGCTGTAGCCTGCTCGACTTAGCCGTAGAAGGCCAGGGCGTGGTCGGCGATCTCGCTCTTCGTCGTCCTCCTCCTCCTCCTCCTCCTCCTCCTCCTCCTCCAACTCCTCCTCCTCCTCCTCCTCCTCCTCCTCCTCCTCCTCCTCCTCCTTTTCCTCCTCCTCCTCCTTTTCCCCCTTCTCTTCCTCCTCCTCCTCCTTCCCCCCTCCTCCTCCGGAGTCGGAGGCCTAGAGGCTGACACCAACGCCATGACCCGAAACCCCTGGAGTCATGCACATAAGCCGACCAGGGGGTGTTGCGCTATGTTCGGCCTTGAGGGGGCCCCCGCTGGGCGCCGCCCGGGGGCCGTCCAAAGCCAGCGCGGAATGAAACAAAACGGTCACGGGGAAAGGGTCGTGACTTTTTGGTGTCGGCGATATGAACAAATCATGACGGTGGTAGTGGTCCCGATCTCGATGATGGTCGTAATCAGGGACCGCTTCTTTTGAATCGGTGATAACCCGGGTTATCCCGGAGGGTGGAGGGGGCCGGCCGATAACACAACCTTCGCGCTGCGGGCAGTCTTGCATATGCCCACTCCTCCACCCTGGACCTGCACAACCGGCAAGGTTAGGTTTTCCTGGTGTGTGTGTGGGGGGGGGGGGGGGGGGCAAACCCGATAAACCCGGTTATCGCCGGACACTACAAGAACAGCCTCTAGCTGTATGGGCTTCCGAAGTGAACAGAATATGACCATCAGCACGAGAGCTTCCTGCGGTCGAGGGGCCAACGGTGTTTCGGTGGGTGCCCACTTCCAAGCCTCCAGGGGAGGGGAGGTCGGGGTTCCTCCTCCTCCTCCTCCGCCGCCTCGTCCTTTTCCTCCTCCTCCTCCTCCTTTTCCTCCTCCTCCTCCTCGTCCTCCTCCTCCTCCTCCTCTTCCTCCGTTCTCCGTGCATGCTTCGGCTTCGTGCGTGCATCCCTCGCAGGGTGGTTTACTCTGAAACGCGCCTCGAGGGTCCACGCCGAGGACCAAAGAGCACACGTCCGAGCGATGCCAAGCCGAGGGACGTCATCGGGCCGGACGTGAGGTCAGCACGGGGGCGGCGGGGGATGGCGGGAATGGGGACGTCGGGGGAAGCAAACCCCTCAGCCCTCGGAGGTACCCGTCGGTCGGAAAAGGCAGGCGAAGACATGAAGCAGGAGGGCGTTGAACATAGATTGGTTTCCGTCCGCTTCCTCAGGAGGACGGAAAAGGCGAAGCCACTCGATCTTTGAAAAAGGAGGGCGCTTAAAGTAGATGGAAATCAGGGCATCGACAAAATACATACTTTCAACGACCGATGCCATGGGACGGAAGAAGTAGGTGGAAACATGAAGTAGGAAGGCGTGGAACACAGATCAGGTTCCCTCCGTCCCCTAAGAAGAACGGAAAAAGGTGATGCCACTCGATCATTGAAGTAAGAAGGAACTCAAAATACCTTGGAGACTGGGAATCTGACACATACATACGTTGAACGACCGATGGGCACTCGTGCAAACGATCAACGACCATGGTCGGGTCGACCGAGAGCGGGGGCTCGCAAATCGGGGGGGGGGGCGAAAGCGTATCGGTGCCACGCCGCCGTGAGGACCCACAGGGCCCCATCGGCGTGTTACTCCCTCGCTCTCCCGCCCAGCCTTTGCCATGCCGTAGATATCCTCTCTGCTCGCACAGTCGAATGTTGCAGCATAGCATGGCCTCACATGGCACACCACGGTGTTGAATATCAACGCGTAGCATGACATAGCATGGCGTTGCGACGCCCACCTAAAGTGTGTGCGGGGGGGGGCTTGCGCGGCCCAATACATCCACGAATCGACACCGACTGTGGAATCACTTCCGACGGTTTTCGGGGGTGCAGGCAGATCGCTCCGGGATCAGGTCGGGCGTGTCTTCCTACAGGCGGATTTTGGACGAGAGATTGAGAAGACTCAACGAATCATCAAACAAGTTTCAAAAATACCTAAAACATCGTCCCCAGAATATTGTTGTACTATGGTTGTAAAACCCTCCAGTAGGCCGACTTGCCACCATGGTTCGCCACGGCCGCCCACCGCGCTCTGGACCTGCGCGCCCGGCTGCTGCTGCCCGCCCGGCTGCTCGTCGTCGACCTCTTCGGCGTCTGAGCGTCCCTCCCTCCCCTCGACCGTCCCCCCCTGCATGGGGATTTTCGATGAAAAATTAAAAATTACCCCATGAATAATTCAAAAAATAGTCCCATCATAGGCTGGGGACTATGTGATAATATTTGTGTTGCCTTTTCTGGGGTATTATTTTTTATTTTTTGAAGAAAATCCCCCTGTAGGGGGACACGCCCGACATAATCCTTCCCGTCGGCCGTCCCCCTCTCCCTCTCTGCCTGCCGGCCCCTTCGCTAGCTCGTGTCCCTGTCTGGCTTCACGCTGGAGCGAACTTCGCCGCCGCGCCGCGGACGAACACATGAAGGGGCCCCAGGACAGACCAATAAACACATACAAATCAACCGATTCCCCATATTTTCCCATATTTTCTGGGTTTCTGTCTTCCCCCCCACTTCCCATATTTTCTTATATTTTCTGGGGGATCGCCGATTACCCATCGGTCGGAAGAAGTAGGTAGAAACATGAAGTAGGAAGGCGTTGGAAATAGATTGGGTTTCCGCCCCGCCTCCTGAAGAGGAGGGCAGAGGGAAACCCACTCGACTCTTGAAGTAGGAAGGCGCTGAAAGTAGATTGGAATCTGGGAACCCAAAAATACCTACTTTCAACGACCGATGGGTAATTGTGTCTGTGTGTTCCTTTCCCTCCGGAACAAAGGCGGGCCCGACCTGAAGCCGGGCCCTCGGCCGTGCGGCCGCGGCCTGCCTCGGAGGTCGAGCGCGCACCTCGGCTCGCCGGCGCGCGCGGCGTGGCTCACGTCGGGCCTGTCCCTCCACAGGAGGAGTATTCCGAAGTAGTAACACAATAGTTGCTCGACTAATTTTGTGTTTGACTACATGTGTGGTTGGCTAATTTTGTGTTTGACTAATTTTGACATCTTCAAAATATTCAGGGAACGATGTTTTGACTAATTTTGTTTGGCGATTCTTTAATTTTCGTTCAAAATCCGCCTGTAGGAGGACATGCCCGACCTACTGCTTGGTCGAGAGCGCCAGGGCGGCAAAATCAGAGCACCCCCCGCGAATGAGAGCGGCGCGGCGTCCTTCTTGATGCTCGCGCGGATGCCGTCGGCCACCAGCTGCAGCTCGGCCAGGTGGTCTCTCGGAAAGTCCTCCTGGCAACGGTACAGTCGGGGCGTTGACCTAAGGAACCCTAAATAAGGAACGAGGCCCCTTTTTTCCTTAAGTTAAACTTCGATTTCCGATCGAAAGCATAAGGAAAACCTGAGGCGAGCTGTGAAACACTTAAGGAACGCGGAGCCCCTCCTCAACGAAAATGGTTCCTTCTTCAGGGCCCCGACTGTACTGGGTGCACGGTAAACGGGGACGGGCAGGAGAGGAATGCCTTAACGAACCCCCTTTAATCCGCCCGACCGGGCAGAGCCGATCAAACCACCAGAGGCACGCCCTGAAGCCGCCCCCTCGGCGGAAAACTCCTCTCGAGAGAGAAGGCCTGAATTTCCCAAGTGCTTCCGGATCTCGAGGCCGAGACGAACAGGTGTACGAGGAGAGGAGAGGAGGGGG